CTCGCTCACACACACACACACACACACACACACACACACACACACACACACACGCCGAAAAACGGCATGGCGCACAGTGCGCACCCTTGTAGGGGTAGCGCGTCCCCATGCGCTGCGCGCACGGCGCACCTCGTGCGCGCGCAGTGTCACCGCGCGCATTCCGCAGGGTGCACCGCACCGCATCGCGCACTGCAGCAGTGCGCCGCAAGTATGATTTGTTTGAATGTGCTGTCCTATTTCGTCTGTTCCGACGTCGCTTCGGACTTGCAGTCCCCAAGGCATGGCCTTGGGCTGGGTGCACTACCGGCGTGGCCGTTTTCAGGCCAGGCGCGTTTTGGCGCCTCGCTGCATCAGCAGTGCGGTCTGGATACCCGGTAGAGGCCCAGATGGGGTGGGCCGATTTTAGGCCAGCCTCAGAGGCATGCCCAGCCAGGCCCAGTGCTACATATAGCTGGGCTGAGGCTGGGTACAGGACAGTTGAATAGCTCACTTCTTGAGCGATACGCTGCTGGTTGAGTGCTGCGCTGTTTAGCGCTGCGCTACTGGGTTGGAGGCTGAGCACCGGAAGGCAGAGGGGCGGAGGCCATACCTGCGACGAAGGGACTTACCTGGCGCCATAGCTGGGACTCCCGGTGCATGCGGGACCTGCACACGACGACACAGAACGGCGGTCAGTTCGGGTTGGCACCTGCAGGTGAGGCAGCAGCAAGGGAGGTGACATCTTCTTCTTCGTCAGTCTCCCTCGCTTCCTCCTTCCTCCTTTCTTCTTCTTTTTCATCAGATACGAGAGAGAGAGTGAGAGAGAGAGAGAGAGAGAGAGAGAGAGAGAGAGAGAGAGAGAGAGAGAGGTTACAGGCAGAGGTTATCTGATCCAACATTTTTGAGGCAGACATTGATTGGACATTAGGCAAGGGACTATTTTTGGACTTCACTACTGCGATCTTGATCTCCTCACTTGCCTCCATCTTCGTCTCGCCTCGTCCCCCATCTCTCATCCGTGGTATCTCCCCCATGTGTGTGTATCAAGGAGGGACCTTTCTTCTATGTGTGCGGTCCCTCCTCTTCGTCTCACATGTGTGGTGTATGGTGGGATGTCGTGTCAGTCCCGGTCAGGTCAGGACTTATCTTTGAAGTCTTCCACTGCGCTAATTTGTGCCATTTCATATGTATCAGGATGTACATTGCCTGTTGATGTTGCACTGACATTGCATTGTCCATTCAGTCCTTTTTATCACATTGTGGATCCTTGGCTTCATGTAAATTGCCCAACCGGGCATGTATCACCTGGCCTGGGGCGAGTCCCCTAGCTTTTCGGAACGAGTCATTTTGGTTTGGACGAAGACGGCTCAGATGATGTGTACTTGTGGTTCAACGCAACCTGATGAATGAATATTGCAGCTAGAATGCCGTTATAGAAGCCGGAAATCGCAAGCTTTGCGGCCGTCCGTGGCGGCTACGGGCGTCAACTCTTGGAGGATCCATGACTGTGTTCTTGTCGTCTATCGTAGAATCTGTCACTGGGTCGGCATGAGGTGCTTGGTCTAGGCGTAGGGCCAGGCTCGACTGGGCTTCTACAATTTCTGCGTTCTCGTCCTCTGTCATAGAATCTGTCAATGGGCCGCATGAGGTGCTTGGTCTAGGCGTAGGGCCAGGTTCGACTGGGCTACTACAATTGCTCTTGCGAGATTAGCTGGGAGCATTTTGGTAGTCCATTGGGGGGACCTGGCCCTCTTCCTCAGTAGCTCAGCGGTAGAGCAGTCGGCTGTGAACCGATTGGTCGTAGGTTCAAACCCTACCTGGGGAGTTTACCTATCTTTGGGGGCGGGGAAAGTAGATCTGAGGCGCCGCGACTGGCAAAATACTGGGTCTGTACATTAGCGGGCACCCCCACTGGCGGTCCCACCGTGCGGCTTGACCACCATGGGGGGCAAGATGCAGTTGCAAGATGCATCCGCATGATTGTGAGAGGCAGCTATGGCTTGCAGGGGTCGTTGACGTTGGTTCAACGTGCCAGATGAATCTGCATGGGACTGACAAAAGACTCTGTTTGGTTGCGGGTTCAGCCCTAAACCTGGGGAGTTATATGTATCTCGCCGATGTTTCTGGCTCACAGTGACTGATGTCCGTTGCATGGACCGGACAGAACACTCGGATCATTACTACTGTCGTCACCCAAAGAGAACGCCCAGTCATTACAGCCGTATTTGTTGCAATTTTCAGTCCAGATATACAGCTATAATGACCGGGCGTTCTATTCGGGTGAAGACGGTAGTCCTACCAGGTTCAGCGTTTAAGCCCCTACCGCAGAACTTTGCCCATTTGGTTGATTTTGGTTCAGCGTGGCAGATGGTTTGCGAATGAAGCAGACATAACATTTCTTTTGGATTCTTCTTCTTAAACCACCGCTACCTTTCCCATATGTCAGCCCCGGGCATCTGATAGCCTACTCCTGAAAAATAGCCGCCACGCCGCCGTCGATAGTTTTCATCGGTGGCGCGCCGCGACGGAATTTGAATTTGAGCTCCCCCTCCCCACATATGAGAAAGGTAGCGGTGGTTTAAAAACGAAAAAAAAAAAGAAAAAAAAGAAGGGAGTCCTTGGTGAACTGACTGGAATGTATTTCTGTTGCTCTGTTGCTGCTTTTCCCCGCTCGCGTTGTACTCATCACACACAGTGTGGCTATCGACAACAAGGCAGATACAACTGTTATTCGGGTGAGGCCGGCCTCTGACATCGGACTTCTGTTCGCTTCTGAAGACCCAAAACACTTGTGTGGGCCCATGCTAATCTTCTCGGTATTGGGCCAATATTAACAGATGTCCCAAAGGACAGTTTTTTTTTTTTTTGGGTGTGTTGTGTGTCGGAAAACCAAAGAAATCTTATGCGTTTGTTGTGGCGAGGGTTGACTTTTCCCAAGCAAGTGATGATATCTTGGCGATGCATGCAGTGTTACTCAATTGATAGCTCAGGGCGTATTCACACGAGGACTTTTTCAACCAAGCTCTGGGCGTAATTGCAGGTCAGGTTCGTCCCGGTTTGGCCGTAATTGCAGTCAAGTACATGTAGGAGGAGAGTGCTACTGTGCGTATGCCCTCAGATAACCACCACCATGGTAGAAATTCCCAAATGCATGGGGGTGTGCTTGGCCGGTGATCATGTTTGTCTTCTTTTTTGGGAGTACCAGGGAGTCCCCGACAAGTAGACCCGCCAGTTTGGGACCCGGGCCTGATGTCTTCGGCCGAGCAGAACACCCAGTCGTTTTAGCTGTATACTGGGCGACTTTCAGTCCATAGTCTTCCCCCGAACAAAACGCTCGTATCTATCTACATCTACAATACTATAAGAATCGCTAACATCATATCTACCGCCCCAGGTTGCGGCCCGGTCACCACCCGCGGACGGCCCAGGTCGCAGGCCGATGGGAAACTTCTCTCATCGGCCTGCGATCTGGGCCGTCCGCAGGTGGTGACCGGCCCGCAATCTGGGCCGTGCGATACCGGTTCGGCCCTTCTGAACGCGCGCCCGCGCCCAGTCCTGAAATCGCCCTTCGAAGGGGTGGGCTTCTCAATTGTCGGGGCCGCCCCTTCGAAGGGGCGGGCTTCGCAATTGGCTCGGCCGCTACGGCACGCGACGGCACGCGACGACACGCTACGGCAGGCGATGGCACGCGACGACACACGACGTGCTCAGCATGCTCTCTCTCTCTCTCTC